TAAGAATTATAATAAGAATAATAATAAAAGAATACAGTATATAGAATAAGAAAAAAATAATTTTTTTTCTTTTCGAAAATTTCTGAAATTTTACAGGGAGGTTTTTATATTAGAGGGATTGATGCTATTAAATTTTGGTTGGTAAAGCTTCAGTGGGTGAGGGAGATAAAGAGGATCATGTGTCATATCTTGAGTAGGGTCAGACTTAATGATGATAATTTTACTCATTATTGTATTAGCATTTACAATTTTTTTTTATAAAACTCATCATATTTTTTCCTAATTGTGCTGTAATTTGAAAATAATTGTAGACCTATAAAGTCCCACTGTCATCTGTCTGTCTTTCCTTAATTTTGATAATGAAGTTAGATGAAAGACAAGACCAGATATGGAAACCTTAGGTCAGGTGGCCCTGATGCAAACTGGAAGTTGTGTTATTTCGATTCAAACATTTTCCCCCCCAAAAGGAGTTAGATAGATGACTGGCACAACTCTATTGTTAGAGAAAAGTATGATGTACAAGGGCAATCTACTACTAATTTGAGGTGGAGAGCATATAATTTAAATTAAACTAAAAATATGATTAAAAATTGCAGCCCGGCATTGTGACAATGCCACATTAAATAATTGCCTGTTAGAATTAGTTTGGTTTATTTGGTTACAACCAGGGATGTGGAGTTGGTAGATTTTTACTCGACTCGGACTTTTCCTTAGAAACTTTTTTATTTCAAAGCTAAAATACTCCTCTAAGTAATGACATAGTCAATATATAAATATGTGTGACCGCATAGAGACACATATTTATATAAATATACAAATGTGTTTCTTTGACACCACGTCAGGATGTGACACCACAGTCTTGCAGGACTCGGAAATCATGACTTTACGTCACGCGAGCAGTAGTGGATGAGCGGTTGGATTTGGAGTAGAGGTGAGGAGAGAGACGAGGAAGTGATTTCACTTGGATTCCATATTAACTAACAATAACAATTTTAATTAAAACAGAAGAAAATACAGATATACTCGATATCAAGCATGACTAAAGTTCCCCTTAATTATTACTAGGCCATTCGAGAGAGAGTTTACAAACAAATTGCGTGTTGATAAATACCTTTTTAACTGAGTCGAATCTGTTTTACGATGACTGGATAAACCGTCGATGGAATGTTTGAGGTTCGATGAAATTGTTCTGAGTCTTTAGTGTGTCTGGTAACAGGAGCACTGATGTGGAGGCATGGAGGTGAGGATGTGTGTAAGATATCCTTAAAGAGGCACGGTCTTTGTCACAGTATTAATTCTTGGGAAGAGAATTTGGGAGGACGACTTCTGATGCCAAATCAAGAGGACAACACTCAAATTCTGGGGTTCCTTCTGGGTTTTTCCATCAGGTCAGGAGGTTGCTGTTAAGGACCTAGCGTGCAATACTAGAATTTTATTGAACATTCCAGGTGACGCATTAATGACTAAATGGATCCTCCTCAACAAGGAACCAAATCCATGGGAAATAATTTTTATGGATTTTAGCCTAACTTGATAAAAAGATCGAAGTTAGACGATGGAATTTCAAAATAATTAAAGTTTAAAATAACACTTATGTGAGGGACGAACAGACTCTCAATAATGTATTCAATAATTTTTACTTTTCCGGCTGTTATATATAACAGAGGAAAAGTGTAGTGATTGGTCAAAAAATGATCCCACCCCAAATTGTTGCATTTTTTTGACTCAGAACACCTCAAAATGTCAAGATATGCAAAAGATTCAGGTTTTTTTTCTGTATGTACAAATGTTAGACTGTATGGGAGGCATGATTTTGAATTGGAGTCAGATGGTTTAACACAGGAGTTATTAAGCTTCAAAATGGTTTAACTAAATCAGTTGGTACACATTCTAACATCTATGCATACAGAAAAAACTCTGAATGCTTTTGCACTTCTCTACATTTCAAGGCTTCCTGAGTCCAAAAGAGTAAAAATCTGGAAAGTCATTTTTTGACTGTTGATCGTTCTTTTCCTTTGTTATAGGAAGATACTGTATAACTGCCAGGAAAGTAATAATGACAACAATTCTGATTATTTTTTAAAAATACAAAATAAAACTATTTTTAAAAAAGTAATTAAACATTAATTTGACACATCTTTCTGAATATATAAATTCACATTTATTGACTTGTTTGATGGTGGCAATGGTATTTGGTAAGCATGTATGAATAAAAATAGTAAATATATTTGTACACAAACAAATTAGTTTAATAAAAATGTTGTATATAATATGAGTATACAGTCGACCCCCCCCCCTATAAGATATAGATACGTTCCATTCTTTAGGAATCCAATTTCTTAAGAGTCGTTCCAATCACAGCCCGACACGTGTCAAGTTTACGGACTATGGCTGATTGAAAGGTTTTCTTCCATAAAATTAATCGATTCTAGACTAATCCGACTCAACATTTCCAAAATACATATATTTTTTTTGGAAATAATCCGTATAAACTACGCTATAAATAAAAAATTGTAGGATTACTTACCGAATGTCACCATTCGACATCGCCATTGCTCAANAATCCATTAAAAATACATTTACAGGCTTTATAATAATATTTACATATAAAACTTAATTTTTGGTATCGAAGTTATTTTTTTTTAAATCTTTAATATTTTTTTGAGCAAAGAAAACCTCTATTCGGTATTTTCTAAAAAAATAACTTACTAATTAATCTGCGTGTTTGACATTTTTATACTTAACGCTACAGATGTAAGGGGATGTTTTTGATGTAGTTATGAGGGCATTTTTTTGAATTTAACCTTTAAAAAAACATTTATATTACAGCCGTGAATATTAAAGATATTATTTATGATGACCAAATAAATTTTTTAGGCGTTAACATCATTGTTTCGTGTAAATATTTTAAAGAAATATTTAAAAGTAAACAATTCACGAAAGAATTGACATTCGTAAGCTGAATACAATCATTAAATCATTCATTCTATTGTGAGATTTTTTTTCTTACCTAGAGGACATCTGTTCAATAGCTTCTTCAACAAGGGTGAAGAGTTTGACTTCAAAAAACCGGGGTTAGTTTTTTTCTTATTGAATGTAGTGGCACGTGTCTAGAAGAATCATAGCGTGCAGTTAATTGATATCCATTCAATAGTAAGATGATGCTAGAAAAATATCAGGACTAAGAAATGATAGACTGTTTCTTTGTCTCATCAGCATTCAAAAAACACCTAGATAACTGTTTTTTTAGAAAGATTTATTAGGTATAAACACGTTAGATGCCGCCTTTCTAATGAAATTCGACAGTGACAATTTCTTTGTTTCTGTTTAAAAGGATGGAAACGTAAAAAAAATACGCATCTTTAATTGCGAATTGAGTGTTTTTCTTTTTTTTTTTTTTTTTTTTTTTTTTTCTAGTGCATAGTAAACATTACCTTCATATTTTGTAACATTACCTTTTTCTATCTATACTCATTGTGACTGGTGGGTCAGCACCTCTTTGATGCCCTGTCAGGACTGACACCACCATGTTGCGATTGAACAGTAGCTGAGATGGAATGTTGATTCCGTCACGCGGTCAGCCGCATATGCAGACAATCATATCCAGGATCTAAATTTGGGTTGAGAGACAGCGTACCGGAAGTAAAATACTCAGACTAAGTTAAAAAAACAACCGTTTATTTGTAAAGCATAGGAAATACATTCTATACAATTTTGATTGTGAGTATACTAAATAGAGCTAAAATAGGTTTAGATAGACCTAACTTCATGGTTCTTGAGAGAGAGAGTTTACAGTGGTTTGCATGTTGATAAATACCTTTTTGAAGTTGAAGGATCTGGTTGTAGTCTCATGGCAGGAGAGGATAAGAACAATTCTGGACAAGGTATATATGGCTAGATGTTGTGGTAAACTTGCCGGAAGTAGAATTGAAGTTGAGCGAATCTCAGATTTATGTGGATGTCTAAGATGAAATTATTCCAATTTGGTGATGACAAGGTATTCCATTTCAGAGGCACTAATGTTTGGGTCAGAGTTAATAGTATGGTCCGTTTCAGAGGCATTAAAGTCAACATGATTGGGTGAGTGACTGGCAGCAACTGACTTTTTAGGCCGTCAAAAATGATATCAGTTCAATATTGCCCGGCTAAGAGGTTAGCAGATCTTGGGAATGCATTGCGTTTGCCATCGAGAAAGTGTAAGTGAAGATTTTCTCTGGTAGCTGAGGAGGACAATTTTTGAGCAATATGACGACATTGACAATTTGATTTTTGTTAAAATTCGGAGTATCACATCATATTGGAACTCAAGCTTAATTTTGAGAGTAGAGACAAGTTTTATAAAAAAAAAAAAACTAGCAGATGAGCTATATGTTACTTGGCAAAAAAGTAGTGATAATAAAGTTTAAGATTATTAGATTATAGCTGTTCTTACCCGTTTTCACTGGGTACAAGAATTAGGTCCCCCTCTTCTGAGACTAATTAGAAATTTTTAGATGGATCTAAAAGTATGTTTGATTTTTCACAAAAGCACAAAAAACTACATCTAAAATAGTACAGTATAAACAGTTCTTCAGAGTAATCCTTAACCCTCTCCCTCTACCCCGTGAGAGGAATTATTATTATTTACCCATCTCAATTATAAGATTGTGAATGCTAATAATGAGTAAAATATTCTGACCACACTGGTGATATGAACATGGCCCCTTCTGTCTCTACCCTGTCAACCTTTAATTAAGAACCAAAATTTAATAGCATTAATGCCCTTTATACACATGCTACTATGCCAAATTTTGTTTCTTAAACTTTATTCTGTTCTGAAGTATTAAACAATATTTCAGAATGAGTAAAGAAATTAAACAAATTAGATGCCAACATATGTGCGCACGCATGAATTTTTTCCTTTATTTGACATTTTTTGGATTTGAGAGATCTCCCAAATGTATAGACTTGCAAAAAACTCGGAGGGTCAAATGTGACACGATTCAAATACTTTTTCATTTTTCATATACATAACAAGTTGGGAAAGTAAAAGGAGTTGGGGGATTTTTGACGACTCCAACTTCACTAAAACACCACGACTCCACAGCCCTGGTTACAACGTGACACCTAAGTTATCTGCTGAGGGGAGGATGTATCCCAGGAAGACTTTTATGGGAAGCTGGGCCCTATTTAGGTGTTACTAACCTGAAGAAAACCGAGAAAACTTCATGTGGGCAGTCTGTTTGTGATTCCAGAATCCACAACGAACTAATTACCGGTGTGCAGTGGTTTTATCCATCGAATACTGGAGAGCACTTATTAGAATTAAGAAACTACTGTTTAGAAATGAAAAAAACTGGAGTTTTAGTTGTGGAAAATTAAATATCTATAGACTTCTTGTAGGGTAACACTTTCAATTCCATGCAGGCAAGTGCAATATGCTACCTGTTGCAGTAATTAAGTGAATATAATATATATTTTTAAAAATTATATTTTTTAGTTGACTGATGCCCGAAATGTGCTGTTGTCACATATCAACTAAAAATGATGGAAATAAAGCCAAGTGTTTATTTATAACTCAAATGTAAGTTCAAAGTTCAAATATTGGTTTTATTCAATGTGACATTCCTGCAATGATGATTATTTTTTTTATTATTTATTTGTTTAAATTAATATTATATTTTGTTTTATAAAAATTATTTTTCAAAATTTATTATGAATTTTAACTTATTCAATTTGTAATAAAGTTAAATTTGATTGATGGATACAATGATCATGAAATCTTTACACACAACTTTTCTATTTAAAAAACATCTTTAAATATGTAAGAATAATTAAGCTAAGTACATTTTCTTTGATTGTGAAATTTTGTGTGTACAGTACAGTACAGTACAGAACATAGTTTCTGCATACTTGACCTACAGTGTTTGTCCAATAAGTATCAGGATTGAAGTCATAAAAAAAAATTATTGAAGATATATGTACTGTGAACTAATAATCTTGAAAATATGACCTTCCTTCATCAATACACTTCTGCCAATGTTTTTCCAGTCTTCATACGCCTCCTGGAAGGTGGCAACCGCAAGGCTGTTCAGGCACCCTGTCAAAGCAGCTTGGACCATCTCAATCATCCCAAAATGATGTCCTTTCAGGCTCCTTTGATACGAGGGAACAAAAAGAAGTCAGGGGAGCCACATCTGACTGTAGGGTGATTGGAGTAGCGTTGACATGTTATGTTTGGCCACACAACTAGCAACCTGTGTGGGAGGCACTAATTGTGCCTCCCACACAATTAGCAACGAGATGCTCCATCACGAAAATCCTATGTGATGGAGCATCCACGTATTGGCAATCTCCTTTCGGATGCAGTGGATCCTAACCCTCAAAAGTTCTTGCACTTTGGCCACATTTTCATTGGTTCAGGTCACTGTTGGACATCCAGCATGTTGTTCATCTTCAACATCTGCCAGCCATCTTTAAACCTTTTATGCCACTCAAAAACATGTGTTCTGGACATGGCTTCATCCTTGTAAACCTCACAGATCAGATCCAAAGTCTCAAATTGAACAAATCTGCTACTAACACAAAATTTGATGGCAAAACACTGCTTGATGGTTTGCTGCATCTTGACTTGCAATGCAAGCACGATCTACACACTCCAAAGGCTTGGAGACAACTGAGCCTGGTCTCATAGCTTACGTGACATCCCCCACCACCAATTCCACCCATAGAAACCATCCTCCACCCTTTCCCATTGGCAGACAAAATCAGTCCTGATACTTATTGAACAAACCCTGTATGTCAAAATATGACTTTTCATAANTTTTTTTTTTTTTTTGCATAGAATGCATTATTGCATTTTACATGAATTTATATGGGAAAAATTGTTTCACTTAATGAGTGTTTCACATTACAAGTAGATTCTGGAACAAATTATGCTTGTTAAATAAGGTTCACTGTATAAAAACAAAAAATAAGTAGAAATAAGTACTGTATATAAGATATACCTTATTTTTTATAATCATTCAAAATCTGACAATATGCAAGAAAAATTCTGATTGTCATTGGCCCCCCCCCCACAAAATACACATAGAACAATGCTGATGACTTTATTTCAAACCTATTGCTCAAAACAAAGAATATATAAAAGCATGTTATTAAAGTAGTAACTTAAACTTTTTTATTTAAATCTTAGTTTATAGAAACTGTTAAATTAAATTAAAATATTCATTTGCTGATACAACAATAATTACACAGTTTATTTTAAATTTTTCTTTGTTTTGAAAGAATATAACCTGAGTGAAAATCATAAAATAAATATTTCATAAGAATAGAAAAATTTTTAAAATTGTTATGATTCTTATATATATTTGTTTTTGCATTTGATTTCAATCAACAATCTTCCTGTTATATATTATAAATAATAAATGTNATAAAAATTTTTAAAATTGTTATGATTCTTATATATATTTGTTTTTGCATTTGATTTCAATCAACAATCTTCCTGTTATATATTATAAATAATAAATGTTATTTATCAATTTTTATTTTTATTCATTTTAAGTTTTTTATAGGAAGTAGTACAGCAGTAAATACAGCAACAAAATTTGACATTGCACCTGCAATTACACAAATAGTCCCTACAACAAGTCATTCTTTAAAAATAATATTTAAGGATCATCAGGCATGTGACTTCAAATATGTTTGGGTTAGTATTCTATTAATTTTGTCTTAACTAGTAAAATCAATTATTACATTATTTTATTACATTTGTTATAAACTCTACTGTGTAAACCTTATGTTCATTTAAATTAGTGGCTTGTTTTTATTCTTTTAATGACATACGTCTGTTGATTTCATTAAATCATTTTCAGATAAATCCTTATCCCATTAACAAGGTGTTATAACTTAGCTAATTGAGGAATTGTTCCTCTATTAACATGTATTAATTATCTGTGTAGGTATCAAACAATGCTTTTTTAACATGCTATTTATTATTTGGATGGCTGGATTTGAGACAATTAAGATGTCAGCCTACTGCCCAGGGTCCTTAGATTGAATCTAGGCAAGCAATTCAACAAATTTTTTTCAGAGTGATCTGTCCTAGATTTGTTTGGCCCAGTCCCTCTCTACAGAGGGCATGAAAGAAAGGCCTTCTTAATCCCTTCAGGATGGAAAGAGTCAAAACTCAAAATGAAAAAATATTATTTAATACAAATTAAATTAAATTAAAACTCCAAAATCTTTAAACGTCCAGTAGTAATCATATACAAGAGGTATGTAGATGACATCTTTATTCTATGGAAAGCGGAACCGAACATAAACAGTTTCATAAGTGCAATGAATGACAATCTGTATGGACTCACCATCAAATTGGATCAGAAGAGCAATACTGAGGTGCATTTCCTTGATATCCACCTACAACTTGATGGCACTAGGGTGGTAACGAAAGTACATTACAAATCATGCTATAGGCCATTGTTCATCCCAGCCAACTCAGCGGACCCATCTCATAAGATCTCTGCATTCCGTGCCCTAACAAGGCAGGCTTTTACACACCATACTACATCTGAGGACACTGAAGCGGAGTTGAAACGCATTCAGAACATAGCAATACAGCACGGATATAGAAAGAACCTGATACACGACCTTGCCTGCGCATACATATCACGAATAGCCGCGCGCGACACTTCTAACATACAAGCAGCGGCCCACGAAACACACAACGTAAATAACACAGTCTCATGCGGTAGTTGAGTACAATCATCACCTCAACTCAGTTTACAGGGAGATTGCCACCCATACTAACACTAAGATTGCATACAAGAGGCCTAGCATTGTATATGGGCTACTCCGCGGTGGCAAAGACAAAATCAATAAAAAGCAAGCACCGGGTGTTTACATGGTCCCTCTATGGGACAACAGGTTTCAAAGGGAATTAGTTTATATTGGGTCCACAAAATGCTCTGAATAAAAGATTGCAGGAACACAAATACGACATCGTTAATAAATGGCACACCACCGCCCTATCAACATATGCCACTGAACCCGGCATAAGAGCTGACCTACATGAGGCCAAACTGATCAAACTTTCTCACCGGGTGGAACACCTGCGAAATCTGGAGGCACTGGAAATTTACAAAGCCGGGTTATGCACCAATTGCATTAATGCTAATGATGCAGTCAATGTGTCACACGCTTGGAAGTACTGCTATGAGGTAACGGGAGACGCCCACTCCAGCAATTAAAGACCACATCCCCGTTTGGTGTATTTATTTATATATATTTATATAATTGTATGTATTACATATGCCATTCCGTCGCCATGGCAATGCACATGCATAACTGTATTCTTTTAAAATCCGTTTTGTGATGTTCCATTTTTCAAAATTAATTTTCAAAATTTAATTTCATAATCAGTGTTCTACGCTTGCACAGGTTCGAATCTAACTGGTTTTTAAACCTGATGAAGACCGAAAGTACAGTCGAAAACGTTTGTTTATTATTAAATTGAGTATTACTGGACGTTTAAAGGTTTTGGAGTTTTAATTTATATGTTTTCCAGTATTCACGTAAGATTTTAGTTATTTATTTAATACTTATCTAGCAGCAAATATTTTCTAAATTTTGAATATTTTTTTCTTTGAACATATGGTTTATGAATAAATATATTTGCATTTTAGTATTTAGCTATTACCAAATTTTAAAGTGCAACTAAATAATAAAATTTAAAATAATTTATAATAAATCATGATCAAAATGATTTTCAAAACTAATCAAATTTATTTTTTAGCCTGTAGTATATTTGAAAACTCAGAAATTTGATTTTCTTTACATTTTTAGATGCAGTCTGAAAAATATTTGCAATGATATATACTAAATTATTTTTACTTGTGAAAATTATGGCATTGGAACAGGAAAGTTGCATGGATGTTATGTGAAAGAAAAGCATTGGGAAAACTGTTGAGAAAGTACTTTTAGCATCTTCATTTGAGTTAATAATAGATTCTGTTAATGCTTATCATAATCATGCATTTTTTTTGAGAAACTTATTTTTTGCAATAATTATCAGAAAACAATACTTTCCCATGCAGTTTTAGATTGACAAGTTCTTCAGATGTAAACATCAGTATAGAACAGTTTTCCAAACAAAAATTTGAAAAATTAAAAATCATCTTCTTTGAACCATAAGCATGACTTGGTCAAGATGTGTTTGAAAACTTCCAAACAAAAATTTGAAAGTTTTTTCAAATATATCTTGACCAAGTCATGCTTATGGTTCAAAGATGATGATTTTTTAATTCTCTTGTCAATGCTTTCGAATGGTATTCCAAAATTGGAACATTGAAAAGAATTTTAAATATTTTTCCATATTCAAATACTTCAGTGGTTAATGTTAAGGAAATTAAACTTCTGATTCAAACTTTTTTTTTCTAAACTTTCTAAATTATTGTAAAAATGAGAAATTTCCAATTCTATTGCTATATTTGAAAAGTACAGAATAAGATCAATTTGCATTAGATTTTAAACTGAAATTAAATTGTAATTTTTTTATATGCGTATAAGTGTATTTAATTAATTAAAAATTATGGAAGGAAAATAATTTTATTTTTTTATTAATAATGAGTAGTGTGATCAAATGTCTGACTATTGACACCTTCCCTCCATTTAGTCACACATCAAGATTGAGTGTAATTTGTTGTTCTTTTTGGATTTGCCTAAAACTAATTATACAGTATTTTGAAAAATGAGTATTTTATTTTTATGAAATTCATAAAGATTTATAATTTGAGTTTTTCAAGGGATCAAATTGTAAGAAACATACTGAAATAAGGCAAGATCCCTGTCAAAATCCACTTAGATGTCCATTCATATGAGAGAGAGATTTTGATTTGTTAAAACTGGTAATTTATACCTGATTGACCCTGCATGTTTCTCACTTTATAAAACATTTTATGCCTAAATTCTGAATACTGAACTTGACAAAGAAAAGGAATTTCAAAAAATTTTGGAAATGGCCACTCTAGTGACTATTAATAATTTTTCTAAAAGTTTTATCAGTCTACTGAAATAAAATACTTATCATTCAAAAATGAAGAGAATTATTTTATACTTTTGAATTCAAGAATAAAATATACAAATTAAAATTTTTTTATTTTTAGGAAATAAATTTTCATTTATATATATATTTTAAATGACTTGTTTGGATATTTTAAAATGCTTATTTTTCAGCAGTAAATTTATCTAGTAGAGATTATTATTTGATCAGAATTTCCATGGCTATATCTGAGTTTTCAAATATGCCACAAAAGTTTTATCAAAAACTAATTCAACTACTTCGAAAAATTTTTAAATTCATTTTTAAAAAACAATTTTATTATAAGTATCAAATATTTCAATAAATTTTTTTTTCTCTGCAATTTTTATAAAAACTTCAGAAATTTAAATTTCAATATTTAATATTTACTATTTATTTTATATGTTTATTTTTATACTTATTTATTTTATTATTTAATAGCGGA